CGCTCCAGAGCCACATGGCTAAACATGACAAGAGAGACATCTTTAGCATGCTAGCATGCAGTAGGGTCAATTTTAGCATGCTCGTTAGAAATGTGTAGCTCTTACTCCCAGTAGTACTCGCTGGGGCTCTGGACATCCATCTTGATTATGTTGGATGGATTACAAGTCTGGACCGATTGTGTCAATATACCACTGACATTACAAAACACTAAAAAAAAAAAGATAAACAGTTAGTGAATGGATCACACGTCTTTTGATTGTATTGTGTCATCTGTCACAATGCAATCGTTTGACATCTTATGATGTTCCTAAACAGTTTAAAACCTCAGAGAAATGGCACCTCCTTCTAAACCGCAGAAGATGCAACTATGACATTTTAAATAAGCACCAAAAGGCTTGTCACTGCAGGTAGTGGTGGTAGTGGTGTTAGGGCAGCTGGTCCATGGAAGAGGGCTCTGCATGGAGGCAAACATGTAGTACAGGCTGTAACCAATGATGACGTTGTAGTAAATAGATATTAAGAGAGTCACCAACACCATCCCTATGCCGACACCTGGAAAGAGAGGCGAGAATATAAACTGTAAAATGATGAAAACTCCTTAAAACATAAACATTTCATCAGCTCTATCAGTGTACAGTGCATTTTAAAAGCCAGGATGCAAACCCAGGACCTTATTGCTACAAGGCAGAAGCACTAACAGCTGTGCAGCCCGTCAAAGAGTTTCATTACTTATCAGTATTTACATGTATATTTGATTTGTTTTCACAGACAACAGTAAATGATTGAATAGTGAATGACTTGTCTAATGGCTGATAAAATATCTATATTTTACTTAAATTTTACTTGTTAAAATGCTCTTCATTTCCTTTCACCAGCTAAAGGAGAATTTGCATTATCAAAGTCTTAAAGAAGCTACCGCACAATCAGAGCTGGGCTGAAGTTAACTGTCGCTAATAGAGCCGTTCACTAACAGCGGTTCTCTTTAAATATGAGAACCGCGTTCATCTGTGGACACAGCGTTGACCATTAACCACATCTACCTTTCATCTCCCTGAAATTATTGACATATGTTTTTGTTTTTTTTTCTAATCTCACCCTGCAGGATTGGCACTGCTCTCCAAATATTGATCGGACCCTGGCTGCAAAACTGACCGAAGGAACTTTCAAGGAAGAAAAGGGGGATACCAGTCACCAGAAGCATTGTGAAGTATGGGATGAGAAAGGCCCCTATATGACAATGGCACAGAATAAAAAAAAAAAAAATGGTAGCACAATTAATGACAAGACTGAAAAGGAGCCCCGGTGGATTGGATAATGGATCTGAGAATATTAATGTACCCCCTCCATTCTTGTAGGTCAGGTAGGGAAACCTCCAGACATTTCCCAGTCCAACAGCATAGCCGATCATGGAGAGGACATAGTCACGCTTGTTTGACCAGTTTTCACGGGTAAAATGTCCACTACTGGCATTTGCGGATGCATCCTGCTTTATGACAAAGTATAGACAATGTAACAAATGAAAAATACTGATCATTTTGAAGTCTATTTTTATTTATCAATCCCCCCCAGAAAAAAGCAACACTCGGGAAAAGTTTTATTAACAGGGCTTATTTGTGCAGGTAAATACAGTACGGATGATTCCTCTCATCGTCCTCTTTCATAGAAATAACGCACAAATAAAGAAATTTGTTTATCAAAATCAGTGAAATCTCAACAGTCTTTGGTACAGTCTAATACCGCTTTCTGCTGACGCATAGCGCTCAGAGCTCAGATAATAACAGCTTGTACACACATTTGGTCACATTGTCAACATATAATCACAGCCTGACGATGGATCGGACATCTTATCCCATAATCCCTGATACAGAGGTAACTTTGTTTTCTGCTTTTGGTAAGTGCTGTCAACAGTTGTGTGATTAAACATCAAATTCTTTTAAACTAAGCCAAATTCATCACACGCTATTAGAACCGACAAGTGGAATTGCTAGATTAGAAGATTAACAAGTCCAAGGAATTTAACCACTGAGAAGTGGTTCTCTACAACCGGCTCTCTCCAAAAAACGATTCTCCATTCCCATCCCTTGCTGACGGTCATTGTTGTGCACGACAGAAACCTGTAGAGTGCAGCAGTCTGCGGATGCTGTTCAAGCTGGGGCGCAACTACATACTTTCTGAGGTCCATGCGGATACATTGCAAAATATTAATGACTAAATGAATAAATTTTGACATCTGAGCAGCAGCCTGGACTGCTAACACTAAATTGTTACATGTCCGTTTTCACTCACCAATTTCTCCAGAATGGCATCAAATGAAACCGAGTGCAATATTGTTGTCAATAGAGATCACTGCTAACTGTGTTTTCATAAGGTTAATGCTACACTATGCAACTTTTATAAAAATATGTTTTTTAGATATTTGTTAAAACATCTGTATGAGGGTGATTGACAGCGCTAAGACCATTCTCTTGGCTCTGATTGGTTGTTTCTGACAGAACAAAGTATTTGTTCAAATGACAGCAGGTCCATCGGGAGAAAGCAGAGGAGTTTGATTTTTTTTTTTTAGAGATTGTCCTAGATAATGCTGTTACAACATAGTGATATAGTGATTGTTTGAACAAATATGTACAAACTGCTGTTTTAAAAAAGCATTATTTAATAGCTTTAAACATTTTCTAAAAACGCATCACTTACTAATGCACTTTTAGAAAGTAAATAATATTTTAAAATCAAATATTTGGGATTAAGTGGCTGTTCCTACACTTCCACCTAATATTAGACCAACCTTTGTCCTGATTCCTTCTCTCTCCATCCTCTTTTCCTGATCTCCGTCTTCACAACTAAATGACATAAACTTTGTGTTAATTATGTTTTAAAAATACATCACTTAAACCATATATAAAAAACATGAAATCTCAATTTGAATTACTGTCCGTGAGGGATAACAGCCACTGACTGGACTCTGCATCTGATCACACTTGGATACACAACACTAGTGTAGTGTTATATTGAGTGAAGAAACAAAACAGCTGGATTTACACAGAGATTGTATTCCTCAAAATTAGACACGGCTTACAAATTAGGTGACTTCTGGAGTCAGCTGGTTTCACTGGATTGTATTCAAATACATTAGAGTAAAAAGGGCTGAATTCAAATGCAGATTATACTGTTCAAATGTATAATTGTACATAAATGAAATTTGATAAAAGGGGTCTATGCAATATTCACATATAGTTCCAGTTGAGGTTCAATTTGAGGTCGGTATTTATTGTATTGTTTACCATGTATCGTGATAAATTACTTATCATAATACAAATTTTGATTTATTGTTATGATCATAAATTTCAGTCAAGTATGATTAAACTCCACAAAACTATCTGTGTCAGGATTGTGAGTTTTAATATTTTCTCCAGTCAATGAGTATCAGTAAAATAAATGTGAAAATATGATTAAATGCAATTACTGTGTGCAGATTAGTGATGTAAATTACACTACTTTTTGTGACTGGTGTCCTAAACAACTGTACATGTGAATGTTTTTCAAGAGCAGTATTTATGTTTGTGGGGCTATGATTGCTGTGCCATGCAGTCAGATCCATACAATTATCTAATAAAGATAGAATAAGTAGCTGTTATTACCACAGCCCGAGCTCTTAAAAATAAAAAAAAGAAACTGCTGTTTTTGGCAATAAGTTATTCTTTGGTGTCTGAAAAGCCAATTCAAAAACCTCTTTAACCTTGTTAAAAACAACCAGCTGCTTCCTATGTCCTGAGTAAACAGCCAGAGATCCCGTTTCCTGTCTGACAGTCCTTGTTCATCCTGCTGCATACCTTCGCCAATAGTCAGAGTAAAGGAGACCCATTCCGCTCTGTGTCCACATTGTGAACAAACAAAATAAATCACACATTTGGAGGCCATCATCACTTGTTGCTGTGGCCACGGTAACTCTCCCAACTCCCAAGTCGGTTGTGTGTCTGAGTGAGATGGTTTATTCCCAAAGGCGGGGCTTAGTGAGAAAAACCTGAAGGTTTGAAACAAATTGAATAATTCAACTGCTGGCACCGTTAAGAGGAAAGGGGCCGCACTGAGACGGTTTTAGGCAAAAAATAATGCGAAACTAAAGAAGTCCACACAAAAACGTCAAAATACAAAATAAAGATAGAACCATACATAACTTATTTAGACAGTTTATCAGGAAAACAAAAGCGGATTTGGGGGTTAGAAAACTATCTGTATTATCTGCCGTTGATTTTAAGCTAGAATCAACGGTACTGCGCGGTTACCTAGCAACCCCCCAACCCCTTAACTAACCAAGCGGAGCTCCAGAACTATTGATCAGTTGGTTTTGACGCTGTATACAAAGCACAATGGGTGGTGGGAAAGGCAAGTGTTTTGTTTTTGACTTACCCTTCAGAAAGTACTTGCATCACTTCAAAATGTATGATTATATAGTATCACGTCTAGTTACAGTCATCCTCAAGTGCGAATGTGAACGTTGAATTGGGGGCGTGGCCTGCGAGAGCTTACTTTGATTTAAAGGGACAGGAGGCACTTAATTAGATTATTCTGAAAGGATCTCAAAATATAGAGAAATCTATCTATCTATCTATCTATCTATCTATCTATCTATCTATCTATCTATCTATCTATCCTGTTGAATATATAGCAGGAGAGATTTACAATAAAAACATATGATATCGCCACCAGCCATACCGGAAGTACTGATATCAAGCATGTCTAAAACGCATTTGTGAAGTGAACAACACTTGAAAAAGTGATCAAGTTTTAAAGTTAACAGAGCTAAGTGTAATTTTTTGACACTAAACTCTGTTTTAGGGATTCCAAGTATTAATAATAGTGAACTTCAGTCATAATACGTGACTCTTTCCCACTGTATTAGTTTTTTCCCCCTTTTTGTTTGTTTTTTCTTTTGTTTTACACTTTACTTAAATTAGACCAATGAGCATGAAATTTGAATGCTTATAATGTTTTCACAGTCTTAAGATTTTGAGCAGGACTTTATATTATGTATCAGAGACAACAGAGTAAAACAGAGAGAACTATAGGAGAAGACGCATAAAGAAAAACTGAAATTAAAGGCAAATAAAAGGCTATAAATGATCCTCACAACAAAAATGGATCATAGTCACAGACATATCATATAATACAAATTATATTAAAGCTCCTAAACTAATTTTGAGTACAACATGTAATCATGATCAAGTGACTGCTCTTAACTAAAGCATGTCAATGTTTTCTGACCTTTGATGCAGCATAATACTGCTGAAGAAACATCTGTTAAATTTCACATTTGAACACAATCACAGCTGTGTGTGTGATAACATCACAATATGCCACTGGGCCTGCACTGATTGGGGTTTGACAATTCTTGAACAGTGGTCTAATGCACATGGTTAGATCTGGATGCTGGAAGCCCAACGCAGACAGAGAGCAGACTCTGACGGGATGTCCTCCTGACTGATCTCGTTCCCATCCAGTCGCAGCGTCTGCAGTCTGGAGAAATTTGTCACGTCCACAACGGGGCAGAAACTTCCCAGGGAGAACTCTGCAATGACAGGACAGTGACTTATAAAATACCCCTGTGAGTGAGGTAATTTCCTCACAATATGCCTGAAAGGCCATTTACCTTTGATCTGATTGGCTTGCAGGTAGAGATGCTGCAGTGTGGTGCTGACAGTAGGGATTCTCTCCAGTTTGTTGAAGCTCAGGTCCAGCTCCACCAGTCCGGTTATATTGAAGGTGTTGGATGGGATCCCTTTGTCTTTCAGCAGATTGTGAGACATCCTTATATACTGCAGCTGAGCTAATCCCCCCAGGAAACCCTCGGGCAGAGAGTCAATGGAGTTAAACTCCATGTAGAACTGGTGCAAATGTTCAGGAAGAGCATCTGGGACCTGAAGCAGAAAAGAAAAGGTTTATTTGCATGACGTCATTCAGGCACAAGGCAAGTCAAAGTCCTTTGTAGGAGAAAACTTAACATATTTACATTACAGACTAACATGAATAGTAACATATGCCAAGTAAAAATAGTAAAAATGTAAATGATAAAAAACCCTAAACCTAGTCAAGACAGGAAGAATGTGGATGTGGGAAAGCCGCTCTTTATGGAGGGTAGGTTAGTG